TTGAGAAGGCTAAATTGATCAAACATATGCTCACTGTCTGCCGCTGGCCGCTTGGTCGTTACTTTAAATGCGTAACGTTAATTAGGCTATGTGAGTACTGCTCATGTCTGAAAATAATATATGAAAAACAAAATTATTTTACATAAAAACATTAGGCTATAGCTTATATTTATTTAGTAAATTTTTTAATTAATGGAAAAACTAAAATGAATTGTGAAACTGAAAGTATTTTTTTTTAATTGTGTTCAGCACGGTGGGCCGCATTTGAATTTGTGGCGGGCCGCATGCGGCCCGCGGGCTGCGGGTTGAGAACCACTGCTCTAGAAGCTTGCGTTCTGCAAGTGAACGTCGCTTTATTGTTCATCCCAAAGAAGCACAAAATCACTTTCACTGACTTTTACATTAACTGTTCCCTCCTGGTGGAATGACCTGCCCAACTCAATCTGAGCAGCTGAGTCCTTAACCATCTTCAAGAAATGACTAAAAACACATCTCTTCCATCTTTAATTTGACCCTGTAACTCTAACACTCTCTATTCTAATTCTATTCTTTAAAAAAAAAAAGTCCCTTTTAGACTTGCAATACAGAAAAGACAAATACATTTATATATTTATTAAAAATAAATATCATTATTTAATTAGTCAATTAATTTATTAATTTTTTATCAATTACATTAATTAATTTATTAAATGTAATATTTTAACGTATACGTAGATAATAAAAGTATATTTTCTTTTTATTTAAATATGTAATATAATATGTATTGTATATTTTATTATTAATTTTGTATTACAGTAACTGAAATTTTAGTCACAATGCAAAATATCTTAATGATCACTTGATGTTGTGATGAAAAATGGCCTGGACATATTTTGTGGGATTCACTTAAGCACAAAAACAAACACACTTTCATCTATAACCGATCATGAGCCTCCTGATCTCTGTGTTTTCTGTCTCGTTGATCAGAATGTAACTGTCACAACAAAGCCGTCGACTGTTACTACAACCAGACGGTGGCGGATCTGCGGCTGAGCGTGAACACACTCGGCCTGTTTGTGGGAGGAGGAGTGTGTGTGAACTGCTCGCAGAACACAGCAGGAGTGAACTGCCAAACCTGTGCAGACGGATACTACAGACCACACCAGGTGTGTGTGTGTGTGTGTGTGTGTGTGTGTGTGTGTGTGTGTGTGTGTGTGTGTGGGTGGGGGGGTGTGTGCGTGTGCGCGCGTGTGTGTGTGTGTGTGTGCGTGTGCGCGCGCGTGGGTGT